ACTTGTGACCACGCTTTATATACAAGGGCACGATTGTTAACGCCAAATAAACCCTTTGGTTTGGATTTTCAAATGTGTGTGTGTGTGTGTGTATGTGTGTGTTTTGCAAAAACTGAAGTGTCTGCTTGACATCATAGTGAGATTAAAAACGGTGGATCTAGAGGTTAATAAAAATATTTTTTGATTTATTCCTAAACTGGAATATCTGTCAGAAACATCGAGGACATATTGTTTTCATTGGAGTTGATGGAAATATTTTGCAGTTGGGGTAAGTAATACATATTTGTATATTTTCTGATTTGGTCCTCAGAAGGTGAAATCACAACTGCTGGTTCGTTTAGGATGATAAGAAATAGAGAATAGCTCTTCTCTCCAGCAGTTTTAATTTAGAAATGTTTGGTTTGTACAAGAGATCTATTTGAAGATATTTCTGAATCCTTTATCTTAATATTTTATTTCTGAGCAAAGTTTTTTTTTTCGTGAAACAAATGTGTCTTAGCTACATTTACGTTTAGTATTACCGCATAAATTTTGTGATGTCTATGTTAACATTTATTACAAAATAAGGCACGATTTTACTTTTTATTCAAATTATATTGAAATTGTGTCACAGGATAATTTGGTACTCACTCGATATGAAACCTTTAGGGTTAGAAGCATTGGTCTTTGCTTGTAAACTACTTAGTCGACCAGATATCATTTACTGAAAAAGTGTTGTTTTCAGTACCCCCCCACCACCCCACCCCACTCTCACCGATGATGCTCTACTTTTTGAATCAGACACTGCAATCCCGGCAAGTCAGTAGTAAGTCTGAGGGCTTATTATATAACGCTAAAAATCGGGGGCACGGTGTAGATAGCCTATTTTGCAGCTGTGCACTTAAGTTAATACAAACAATTTCTGGAAATGTATGGACATTATACTGTTATTTATATTTAGTTATTCATTTATTATCAAGAACTATCTACTAATGTATGTATATATATATATATATTACATTGTTTTAATACATAATGGTGAAACTAAGTGAAAACAAGAGGGAATCCTCAATAACCGCAGCACTTGAAATTCTTTTAGGCAGGATTAGAGTAAATTAATCTATGAGGCCTTTTTCCCTTTTTATTAGCTATATTTTTGTGTGCCAGAAATACCAAGCTTGGGACGCGCATATACTCGATTCGATTTTATTACTCATCATGATCTTTACCAGCATACCCTTAAATTGAAATTCTTTCAAACAGGATTAGAGTAAATTAATCTATGAGGCCTTTTTTCCTTTTTATTAGCTATATTTTTGTGTGCCAGAAATACCAAGCTTGGGACGCGCATATACTCGATTCGATTTTATTACTCATCATGATCTTTACCAGCCTACCCTTAAATTGAAATTCTTTCGAACAGGATTAGAGTAAATTAACCTATGAGGCCTTGGGCATGGTCAAATGCATCAATCGAAAGGATTTGAACTCCTGAATCCAAAACTGTAATTAGATCTCAAACCGGTCAAGAAAGGACAGAGCTATGAGCTAAAAGTTTGTACTTGAATAACAACAACAAAAACATAAAACCACAAAGAAAAACTTTTTAATATCAAAATAAGTCACCATGGCAAAAACTCAAATTTAACTTTGAAGGCCTTTTATTGCTTGGTTTTACATGTTTTGGTTATAAATGTTTAAATCGACCAGTCACATAGGGTTTGACTCTATATTTAGCAGAAGATTGTAATTTTCATAACAACTAGTTGGATATCTTGAAACAGAGTAAATAATAAAATATATGTCTTTTATTTTATTTCTCTGATTTGGTTTAAATAATTAGTTCACTGATATACAAATTAAAGTTTTACGTAGCAACGTAAAACACATTCAATTAACTTGTAATATACAGCTTTTAGAAACAAAATCCATAAACACAAACCTATTTCATTGTCATAGCAGTTGTCAAGTGGGATCTCTATGACTGCAAATTCTATTTATTTGCTCTTTGACTGAGCTTAATTATTTACCTTTTATACTTTAACTAACTAATGTAAAGTTACGTGAAGAAGCATAACGGACTCTTGAAACTTAAAAAAAAAAAAGATATTTAATATATAAGTTCCTGAACTGCTTTGACTATCTGATCATCAACGCCACCTGTTATTTTGTAAGATTTTATGGAAATGTAAAAAGTACTATTATAATTGTATAGCTCATAGATAAAACTAATAAACATTAATGTGCTGGAAATGAAAAACCCCACATTGGTAACGTTCATTTTATACATATATACAGAAGTGTATTTTGATAATACTAAAATTTAACGTACCAATTAAATGTCAACGTTTGTTATACCAAAATATAAAGCAACTTGTACTGGGCTCCTATAATACCTTACATAAACTTTACATATTTATGACTTCCGTAGAAAAACAGTGTTACTATTGTCGGCTTTCAAGGTCGTTCAGATGTGAATGTACACTGAAACTAGACATATCAGTATTACTAATGGGAGAAACAAGCCATGATGAACTGTACATCCTTCACCATGAGTAACCTCAAGAGCATCATTTTGTGCATGTCTTGCAGGAGAGCCTTTATCTGTCATCGCTTCAAAGTAAGATGTCAATCTTGCACTACCTGAAACATGAGAAATTGTCGTTTTGTCTGAATTATATTTTTCAGTTGTTTTTTCTAAGTCGATTCTTGTAGTGAAATTCAGTTCCGAAATTGTCCCCGTATCAGAATCAAACATTGTGGACGTTTTTATCCCTTGCAACTCTTCTTCAGTGAACATGGTCAAGTTCAGAGTTGTCATCTTCTTACTCATCACAGAAAATTGGACCTCCGTTATTACAAAACCTTTGAGGTAAGCCTACACATAGGAAGAACCACTTATTAAAGACTTCAGTAATTTTTAAAGTAATGTAAATTTAACACCTTACAAGCCCTTTGGATTATTTAGAACATAACATATATGAAACAACGTCCAGTAACTTTCAAATCCTGTCAAGAGGAACAACATTATTGTAGCATCTCTAGGGCATTTTTTGTGATAAAACAAATCCTATTACAAATAATTAGTTGTATATAAGCCCACTAAACTTTAAGATAATAAATATACGTATTTACTTTTCACTGTATGAAAATCAAATCCTTGCTGTGCCTTATGCAATGCACACAAGACCAGTACTTTCGAACTCTGGCTTCAAATGGCACAAGCGGTTGGTGGCACATTCTCCTTGGACGGGATGCCAGTCCATTGCATATTTACCCCCAGCTAACAGCTAGTATCCATCATACAGCTGGGTAGTCTGGAACAAGTGGGCTCAAGGATACAACAACATGAGACACGCAAGCATCTGACTAGAGTCCAAAACGCGAAGCCACTGAGCCACTCTGCCCATTTTTAATGTCTACACCGAGTATATATATAAATTTGAAACTTTTATGTTCTGATAAATGGAGCTTTAATTGCTTAAGGAAATATAAGGAGAATAAAAATGCCCATCATTTTTTATTATGGCAGTAATTGTTCATAGCATAATATATGTTTGTCTTAGCCATACTTCAGCCATTTATATGTATAAGTAGTTTAATTTTAATAAATGAATATTATGAACTTTTAAAGATGTGTTTTGAATTTCGTTACTTTCAATAAATTATTTTAGTCTTACCTCAATAGTATAATTCCCAGGAAGAAGAAGCCTCCAGTATTCACCTTTCTTTGTTGTGTGGAAGTTCATATCTCGTCCTTTAATTTTTAACCTCGTTTCAGGTAAGGTTCTATTACTTGAGTCCATGACCAAACCTCGAACACCTGAGCAGGAGAATATTCATATAAATTATTCTAATAAATTAAAGCAGCATTATACAGTTTTAACGACTGAGTGTCAAGATGTATTAAGTAATAAGAAAATTTTAATTTCTTTTATGTTGCATCATCTCATGCACACAAAAAAGAGGGGGTGAGGGTCTTGAGCCTTCCCATTGGCTATAATTTTTAAATTTTGCACAAAAAATATATATATAACAAGGAGTCATATTTAGGTAGCTAAATAATTATCTCTAATCTGATACACTTTAAAACAATGAGAAATACATTTTTCTTTTCTTGTCTTATCATTTATTATTATAACATGTATATAAAGATATTTATAACTTTGCTTCATTCTTTCAACTGTGAGTATCCTTTCTTTATCACGCATAATGACATATCCAACCTACACGAAATACTGACGAAAGTAACTTCTTATTTTACATATTGCTATAGCTATAAAGTAGAGCAAAATGTTGATTTATTTTCAGTAAATTATTTTGTATGTATTTTCTATAATAATGGTGAAATATTATTTAAAACGAGAAAAAATCTGTCGTTTTCTTGTACAAGGTACTGTGGCTCTCTGAGAGTAATTATTATAAGACTAATAGAGACCTGCAAAATATTTGCGGCCAAATTAGTATCTGTATTGCAACAGTATTTCTTTAAATACATGATTTCTAATTAAATTTTAATATTCTAATGGCAGACACTGAAATTTACAAGTCCACTTGTCTTAGCGCTAACATTAGTTAAGCCTTTATTATGTACGACCTATATTCGATAAAGAGAGAAATTAACACTGCAACTTGTGTATGTTTTTTGCTTTAGTTCAGTTAGGGCTAACCCTTACTGCACGTAATACTATCAATAAATAATCTTCTACGACCTAAGATTAGACCTATTTAAAAACGTTGATAAGTTTTTAATATGTTGTATAAAATGTCTAATAAAGTATATTTACGTCCTTTCTGGCGTAACTCGACGATTTAAGAAAGACACGTTTTCAAATTTAATTTCCAAAAAAAAAAGGTGCAATTTTTTGTACATTTAAGTCCAAATATATCTTTAATTTTCGATCGATCGTAAATTACTAGCTTCGAATTGGCAGGAAGCCAAACTACTTAAATTACACATTAAGTTGCTATGACATCAGTGCATGATCGAGAGACAGACAGACAAATGCACACTGTGTTTTATAGTATTAGATATTTATGGTATCGTTTTATATCATTAGAATTTGATTAGTTGGGGGTTCGAAACTCTATTTCCATGATGTAAATGCCATTCCTACTATCTTGTTTGCATTATTTTTGAAGGATTGATATTAGCCATCCATACATTTACTTCCTTTTTTTGAAAAGTTTTTCTTTACATTATATATATATATTTGTTTTAGTGGTATCTTTCTAAAGACTTGCTGAAAGTGTGGTTTAATTCAATGACTCAACACAAGTAAAAAGTTCTGCCGAATCTGCTAAGTCATAACGAACGTTAAGTATGTTTTTATACAGAAATAATTTCGTTTGTTTGTTGTTTTCAAAAATGAATAAAATCAAAACAGCTGGAAATACTTGTTACTTCTGCATTATCTCATTTCATGTCAATACTACGAGAATGCGCTACCTTGGTGAGCTGCAGCTAAATAATCGAGCAAAGCTTTTCGATTTTCTTCCCAGAATTTAGGCAATTCTGAAGGTATTGGATATTTGCAGCATGAGAGTTCCACAGTGATCTCCATACAACCAGCGTGAACATAGTTATAATCCTGCATTCCTCCTGGAACAAGGAAAAAGAAACATTAACTGGATTCTTGATGGTGGCGTAAAACAAAAATTTTAAAATATTACATTCATTACGCTCCAAGATAATATTACAAACCAAAACTATCCATTAAGACTGCTATCTGCTACTAATTTTGTAAATGTAAGCGATTATTTAAGGAAACATGGGATCACCAGATTGAAATTATAAATTATTAAAAAATACACTACAGTATTTAAATAGCTGAAAGTTTTATAACATAAAATAATCACAATTGAAAGCAAAGTAGTAGAGCTTTAAAATATAATTTTAAGTAATTTTAAAAGACTTGATACAAATAAACATAAATTATAACTAATATTAGCATTAAATATAACTACTCGTTTTATGATAATTGTAATCAGTCAGTGATGTATTTGCATTATTATTTTTTGGTTACTCGTACAATGTCACATCATAGTTGGCCCGACATGGCCAGGTGGTTAGGACGCTCGATTCGCAATCTGCGGGTCGCGTGTTCGCATCCCCATTTCACCAAAACATGCTCGCCCTTTCAGCCGTGGGGGCGTTATAATGTGACGGTCAATCCCACTATTCGTTGGTAAAAGAGTAACCCAAGAGTTGGCAGTGGGTGGTGATGACTAGCTGCCTTCCTTCTAGTCTTACACTGCTAAATTAGGGACGGCTAGCGCAGATAGCCCTCGTGCAGCTTTGCGCGAAATTCAAAACAAACAAACACATCATAGTTAAGAAAAACTAATAAACTAACTAAGTATGCTCATTCTCTTCAGGTGTTTTTTTTTAAAGGATGTGTACTGTACATATCATATCATTTTATTTATTTTAAGTAACATGCAAATATATAACATGACTACTAGTACCAATATAACAACCAACTGATGTAGGAAATATTTAAAGCGAAAATCATTACTCATTTTCATTTATCAACTGGTTTAGTTGAGCAGTTTCTTCTTTTATAATGAGTTAATTGGAAAATAAATATTAAAAAATACTGCATAGAAGTTATATATTTCTAACTATATTTTTCCTAACAAACAACTTCGTGTTGTCTATTTTGAATGATATACAGTGTTTTTGTTCTCCATGATCGCTAGTATTATGTTTATATATGAATAATGCTGAAAAGTATATTTCTCTGTATCTGTAATACTGGTACATTTTACATAGTTATAATATTTATCTATTTAGTGCCCTCTGGTGCTATGGACGTGGACTATTGATTTTGATTGTTCATGATTCTCCATGATTTACTGCCTTTGATTTATAGGCTAATTTGGTTCACGCATTGTCTGAATGTATGTACCTTGTCTAGCATAAGTTTAACCTATTGAGTTTGAGAATCAACCGTTAGGTAAATCCACCTTTTAGCTTCGGAGTTAATGTTCCTATGTACACATGAATACTGAGCAGATTCTCCAACAAGACATAGACTTCATTTAACTGGTATCTAAAATGTAGTTTTTAAAGAAAAACTCGAATAATGATATTCTTAATTATATATATATATATATATATATATA